GCGGTGCCGGCGGTCGCCGTCGCCCCCGTCTGGTCGCCGCAGGGGCAGGACTCGTGAGGAGAGCAAAACGTGGTGCTGGTGTGCGAGAGCGACGTTGGACGTACTCCCAGACTGCGACGCCTGCGCGTGTGTAGAATACGTAGAATAAATCGTCTCTCCTTTTTCCATGGCACTATGCAAGATAGTCAGATGGATGCTACAGACCTGATGGATTGGAGTCGTCTTGGATACAAGCATATCCGTTTTGTCTTCCGCCACCAGGCCTGCTGGGTGGTACGTGATTGACCAGCAACTTCGTCGGGTTTCACTTGATTTTTTTCCCTTCTTTTTTGCTAAAAGTATTCACCAAAGAAGGGTGAAACAAGCTTCAGTTATTTGCCCATCGGTCAGCATAAGTCATGAGATGCACTATGCAGCAGGTTTCCTGTCAGAAATGCAGAATATATAGAAGCAGCAACAACTGGCCGGTCGACGACAGTTTTCGCCGGAGCTTTGGGCAATTGGACCCGTGTAAATATATACTCGCATGTCGCATAGTCGCATGTAGAGTAGTACGTAGTATCAATGGCTGAATCAAAGAAGTTGACGTCTCATGGTTGAGGTTGGAGGTGGCAATGCAGTTGCATGCAGTTTAATTTCGTCCACGAGCATCAGTTCGTGCCAGTCTTTTTCGACGAACTGATGTTCAGGAATAGGTACACGTGTGACGGTGTGAGCGCAGATTTCATCTCCTCGATCCACTTAACCAGCAGTGGGTTTGAACATAGCGTTTGCAGACCAGCGTGTGGCCGGCGATGACACAATCACACACGACACGACTCCATGTCCCGCTAGTACTCGCTAGAATAGGGTGTTGACGTACGCCTTCTTGAGATAAAGAATGATCCTCAGTCTCTAGTTAATTAAGGAATAATAAGTTTGGAATATATGACCCTCATGACGCCTTCTCGTGGATAGATATATGTTTAAATCCAGGGGCTAAAGTTTAGGGGTGTCACATCGAGTGTTTGGATAGTAATAATAAAACAAATTACACAAGTCCTTGGTAATCCGCGAGACGAATTTATTAAACCTAATTAACTGTCATTAGCACATGTTTACTGTAGCACCACATTGTCAAATCATGGACTAATTAGGCTTAAAAAATTCGTCTCGCAAATTAGTCTCAATATGTGCATTTAGTTTCATAATTAGTCTATATTTAATACTCCATGCATGTGTCCAAACATCCGATATGACAGGGGCTAAAGTTTAGGAATGGAAAATAACCACAGCCTAAAATAAAAGGCCTTGACCTTTGATCACGACTTGTGAGGTCCTGCTTTGTGGCTTTAGCAGGCTACTGTCTGCAGACGGTGTTGTTGTGTGATGTTGTTACGGAGTATGTCAAAGACCTGTAAACAAAGTGCATGCAAATGGATCGATCGTGTCAGTTCCGGGACCTTCAGTGGTGCTCACCACTGGACGGGTGGCAGCACGCGCATCAGGAGATGGAAGACGTCTCCTTTCACTGACTCCGTGGCATGAGCATGACACGGAATAATGCTGCTGGTAAAAGTAAAATGAAACTTTAGCTTGCGGTCATCCGAAGCACCGTAGGGGAACGACGAGACTGTCAGTGTCACATATATCTGGGAGGAATCCTGAGATGCCGTGAAAGACCAGTCCTGTTGTTGCTAGTTGCTACCTGTGGAAAACTGGAAACCATCCATTCCCCTGTAGCTGTAGCATGTAGAATAGAAACCATGCTTAATTTGCTCCCGCACGAGTGCGATCGAGGGTGACTGCGCACGCAGCTTTGGTGCTAGTACGTGGAAGAAAGGAACGGTGTGGGAGTGAGGCGCGCAATGCGAGTCAGGTACTCAGGTCAGGTCTGAGACGCGACGGAAACGTCAAATGTGCGTGCATGTGCTTGCTATGGCGGGCGGGACAACCAGGCGACTGCTATGCCGGCCGGCCGGCCGGCCGGGAAGCTGTGCAGCTAGCGGGCAGTGACAACGTACCCGTACCGATAAAGATGCTGAAAGATCTTGGGCACCTTGATTCCGGGAACATGTGGACGGAGCACGCACGTACAAGATGTGTGCAGTGCAGAAGTCTTCCGGCGCTGGGGCCTGGGGCAGTGAGATGCTCTAGCACTCTAGCTAGTTCCGTGATACGATACGGGACGAAGGCACAACAGCCGTGAGCCATTCTTTTGCAACGCCGGATCATCAGAGGACGCTACTGGGCTACCGCGACGCTCGTTTCGTTCCGTTGCGTGCTGCCTCAACCCAACACGTAGTGCTGCCTCAGGTGGACAGGGCCGCGATCGGGCTGCCTCTGTCTGGCATCGATGCCATCGCACTGAACGACCCAGCTAAACCACGAGACGGGCTCTCGGGGGACTGCGGGATTGGCCGCACAAGCTGGGCACACGACGGCACGCACCCACGCCACCGTGCGTGTCGCGGTGGCCCGTGGCCCTCGCCATCACGTCTCGCAGCTGGCGCCTGGCTGGCCCGAACCGAGGCGAGCCGCTCCTCTGAGCGTGGGGCGCCCAGATCCACCCACCGGTCATTCGCTCGATTTTATTTCCTTGCTGCTCGTCTAATCTAATCTATATGCGAAAGCGGTGGACGACGCTGGACGCTGCCTTGCTTCAGAGCTCAGTACCGCGACAGACTGTTGGCTCAATTCGCCAAATTTGACTTTTCCAGCTACGAAATCCCCAATGTCAACCAAACCTATGTCACCGAACATCAGTACTATACTATACCTTGAACCAAAACCTATGGCACCGAACAGTAGCACACGGATTAGTGCTGCAAACCAGCAGGGAGATTTGAGCTCTACCTGTTGAGGTCAAACACTAAACAATGCACGCCGACCGCTATCACGTACGTATCACAGTACTAAATAATTGGTAGCACAGCACCCACAAGGCCACAATAGCGGCTGCTATAGTACTAGAGCATCTTCGAGAGTTCCTAAAAACACACTTCTAATCTAGAATTTTTAGTAAAATTGACAAATATATATCTTCAGCAGCCCCTAATACTGGCTCCTAATCGGACTCGGAAAAACCGAGGCCATCGCGCGCAACCGCGCGGCCGCGGATCCTGCTCCGTGCCTCCGCTCACCTCTCGCCTCTCCCCGCGGCGCTCGATAGCTTCTCCGATGGGTACCGCTCTCTCGACCTCGTCAGGTGCCGCGAGGTCCTCCGTTCCCTCTCCATCGAGTACGACATGGAGGCAGATCAGGGGAAGGAGGGTGTCTCGTCGGCGCTGTACAGGATGGAGCGGGGGCTCCGGGATGCACTCTGGCCGGTACGTCTGTGCATCTAATCCCAATACCAGGCCATGACTGCGGCCAGTTCCAAGCCAGGTGGTGGCTGCGTCGTCGCTGACTCGCTAGTACTCATGCTGCCGTGCTTCTGGTCCGACGACCCGCTCTGGCCCCGCATGATTTGCGAACGAGGTGCTGAGGAGCGCCGTACCGTCCAGACCACCGCCGTGGCGGAGTCCTTTTCCTCTCCGTACAGCCACAAGGAAGCCAGCCATGGAAACTTTTCTGTACATGCTGGTTTCTCAGGAAGAAGATGATGGAATTTACAAAAATGCCACTGAACTAACATACTGTACCTAAAATAAACAATCGCGAAGAAAGTTTTGGAGTGGTTTTTTAGAAACTGTTGGATAAATCCTTCTTTTATCCTCCAATACTTTTTAGCGGCTTGAAAACTTCATGATTTAGGGAATAATTTATTAGGTACTCTTGAGATGTTCTTACCGATTCTATCGCTACAAGATAGCGGACTAGAGATAGCGTGTTGAAACTTAGCAGCTGCTAATGCACTTAGCGTCCTCTGTTGCAAGTCGTTATTGCTGTTGTTGGATTGTTATTCGCTAGATTCAAGTGATAGCGTGGATGATTCCAATGACAATAACAATATATTAATATAGTGACTTAGACCATGATAAAGAATGATGGGATGGATAATGATATCATTTTCAATGATATAAGAACTTAATATTTTGTCTCCACGTAATTTCTTTACATTATTTATTTATATGCTTGCTTGTGATTTTATGACATTAAATTTAACAATTAACTAAAAACTTCAAATTATTCTAAGCAAACATGATATTAGCAGTAGCTGACGGATGGATACAAGTAAGATGTAACATAATAGAGTTGTCTGATAAATTTGAGGTATGGCGTTGGCCAATCTAAATTTTGACCATTTTTAATATTTTGTTATTAGACTTTAGCGTCTGCTATAATATTCGTTATCTGTAATCTACTATGCAGATAATAATCTGCTACGAAACCGCTATCCGCTGTTTATCAGCTCGTCACGTACGCAAAACGGGCCGCGAGCTAGAGATTAGCAAGGCTGCACGAGCCGAAGGCCGGCGCCGCTTCGAATCGAGCGATCCAAAATGGTGCCTCTGTCGACTGTCGAGTGGGACGGGGCGTGGTGACGTCGGAAGCTGCCGTGCGGCCGCAGTGTCGTTTCCCGCAACGACCAGCGTGGCGATCCGCCCCCACCGCTCTTCGCCTCTTCCCTCCGCCCTCACTATTTCTAGCACCGCCGGAGCCGAACACTTCTCATCTCCCATCTCCTCTGCTTGACTGCTTCCCACAATTCCCGCCGGGAGAGCCAACCACTGCTACAATCTCAAGGTAGTGCCCTGTGTCCTCTCTCTCTCTCTCTCGCTCTCTCCTCTGCGATCGATCCTGGTTCCATGTCCAGTGTTCTCATCCTGGCCTTCTCGCCGCATGCAGGTCAGAGGCTGTAGTACCGATCGCTCTAGCCTTCGCCGCCGGCCGCCAGCGCATCGACCACCGCGCGGGCACGGGCGCATGCAGGTGCCATTCCGCTCTCCGGCTCTCTCCTACGGACGTGGGCGCTCTCCCGGAACAAAACGCCTGCCTACTCTCTCGGCAACGTTTCCGGAAGTTCGTTGAGGCATCAAAGAATTGCCTGCCCTGCGCCGTGTGACGGCGCGGCCGGGATGGGCAAGATGAACTGCTTCTCCGGTCTCGGTCTGCTCGGCGGCAAGAGGAAGGCATCCAAGGTTGGTGGCGGAATGAGACTTGGCTTTCGCCGCTGAATTTTGGCGGAGTTAGCTACTTATTAATTAGTGACGTTGGACTTGTTCATCAATGGCAGGGTAACGCCAAGAAGGCCAGCGGCAACGATTGCCCCAAGGTGAAGCCGGTGGAGTCCATGGACATGGCGGACACTGTTGTGGACGACGACGTCAGCAGACGCGGAGACAGCAGCGTTCCTGCGTCTGCATGCTACAGTAGGTTTGTCGTTCACGCAGCCGCCGAGCTGGCACGCCATGCCAGTGACCAGAACGGCGACAAGGCCGCAGTTAAGAGGGACTCATCCGCCGCCGATCTCGTCGCCGGCGTTGGCTCCTCCGGTTACAGCAGCGACGTTACAGGCAACGATGCCAAGAGCGCCGAGCCGGACGACGGCGAGCCCTCCAGCCTTGGCCGCATGTCGCCAACGGCATCGCCGAAGCTGATGCGCTCCTGCTCCAACATCGAGACGACGAGGTCTGTCCCGGCAGGGTCCGACCTGCCGGCGAAGTCGCGCTCCTACAACGACCTGAAGACCCTGCCTCCCGGAAGGTCGACCGCCGCCCGCAGCGGCGCGGTGGACGCGAGCCCGACGGCGTCCTTCAGGACCTCGTACTCCGCTGATCGCGTCATGCTGAAGAAGCGGTCGTCGAGGCAGGTGCTCCCGTCCCGGAGCCGGAAACTATGGTGGCAGATGTTCCTCTGGAGCCACCGCAACCTGCACCGGCCGGGCGCGAGCGCGACCATGCCCACGCTGCCACCATCGCCGGGGAAAGAAGAAGAAGAAGAAGAAGAAGAAGCGGTGCCGCGCACCAGCACGACGGGTACACGTCCGACACGCTGGGCGCGGTCACCGCGGACGCCAAGAACAAAGGCGTCGCCATGGAGGCGGACCCCATTCCGAGCCAGTGGGTCGCGTTCTCCGCCGAGGCCTCGCCGCTGGACCGGGTCAGCGCGTGGGTGAACAGCCTCGGGGACGGCTCGTTCCACGCCGTCGACGAGGACGATGCCACGGGGCACGGCGGCGCCTCTCGCCCGCGACGACCGCGGTGCTCTGAGATCGTGGAGCTGTCGACGACGGCCGGCGGCAAGAGGCATCCGCCGCAGGCGAAGCGGCGCGCGGCGGACGAGGTTGCCCAGGCGAGCGGCATCGTCCCGACGATCGCGGCCTTCTCGACCCTCCGGGCCGTCAATCTGTCTGGAAACTTGATTGGTAATTGCTGATCGCAGACACTAAATTTTTTGTACTCGTGCAACATCATCTTTAGATTGTACTATCAGTAACTAACACGAGTAAATTTCGTTTTGTTACTTGACTCGTTCAGAATTCATAATTGTCCTTGGCTTTGCAGTTCAAATCAGCGCTGGATCGTTGCCCAAAGGCCTGCACTCGCTGGATCTGTCGAGGAACAAGATCGCAATCATCGAGGGGCTGCGGGAGCTGACGAGGCTGCGGGTGCTCAACCTCAGCTACAACCGGATCTCACGAATCGGGCATGGTAAGCAAGCACGTCCTTGTCCAGGCAATGCAACGTGACTTTTTAGTTCATCCCACTAAAGTTTACTCTCTCAGCTACAAGTTTATCTCACGAATCATATGGTAAGAATATCCTTGTCCAGGCAATGCAACGTGACTTGTTTAGTTCATCCCACTAAATATAGATTAATTATAAAATTAAATATAAATGATTTACGAAACTAAATACATAGATTGCGACTAATTTATGAGACGAAATTTTTAAGCTTAATTAGCCTATGATTCGACAAGGTGATGCTACATTAAACATGTGCAAATAACAAATTAATTAGACTTAATAAATTTATTATCGAGGACTTATATAATTTATTTTATTATTATTATTACCTTAACCCTGATGTGACATCCCCGACGTGACATCGTAAACTTTACTACTTGCATTTAAATGCCACCTTACCTGCCTGTACCCTGAATACGTGTCAGGTGAAAACACAGTGCCTAGCCTGCTTGGAGTTATTTGCACCGCACGAATATTGTTCAATGCGTGTATCAGCAGTAATGTGTGACACCCTGGATGTTTGGCATTTAGATCTTCGTCAGGTCCTCTGCTCGTGCGTAGAATGGTCCATACCATACCACGCTGCAGGGCTAGGGTTCGTGCTAGACATCATGGGAAAAGGGTCCTGCGGTTTTAGCTCGTTGTGACTGAACAGGCTCAGGATTTCATATGCGACGTCTGCCGTCGGGACGTGTGGCCGTGCTGGGCGGTACTGGACCTACTGTTAACCAGAATGCCATTACGCATGTCGCCAGATAGGAATGGGGTGCCACATGCTTCAGATATCTGATGCGGACATCTCACATCTCGCATAATGCTGCTTTTCCTTTCAGCCTTCGATCCCCGTGACACGCTTCGGCGCGTCCCATGTAGCATGTCTGGTACAATGCCTGTTCAGGGTTCAGGTTCAGACCTTTGGATTGGATTCCAGGGGATCTGTCCCTCCCAACTTTGATCGTTCCCAGAAACACACTCCTATGTGCATGACTGTATGCCACGTCTGTCAGCTGGTCCAGCCGCTGCACTGGCCCTTTATGACCTCTGGCTCAGCCGCTCAAGCGCGCAGCTATGTTGGGCACCCGTTAGGACCTGCCCTCCCGGTCCTTTCACATGACAAGTCTGAAACTTGCACACATAACTACTAGTAGTATCCTAGCAGAGTTACAGTGATCTTCAACCTTAAACTACGTGTGATATTATGGGTCGAGAATGTACATCAGGCGAATTTAACGTGTGTTTCTGCTTGCTCCGTTCAGGCCTGTCGAGCTGCACGGCGATCAGGGAGTTGTACCTGGCCGGGAACAAGATCAGCGACGTGGAGGGGCTTCACCGGCTGCTCAAGCTGGCCGTCCTGGACGTGAGCTTCAACAAGATCACCACGGCCAAGTCCCTGGGCCAGCTCGTGGCCAACTACGGCTCGCTGCGGGCGATCAACCTGCTGGGCAACCCGGTGCAGGCAAACACCGGCGACGACACGCTCCGCAAGGCCGTGTCGGGCCTGCTCCCGCGGATCGAGTACCTCAACAAGCAGGCCGTCAAGCCGCAGCGCGCGCTGGAGGTGGCCAAGGACAGCGTCGCGCAGGCGGCGCTCGGGAACGCCGGCTGGAACTCGCGGAGGCGGCTCACGCGGCGCCTCAGCCAGAGCCCCGGATCGACGGGGAAGGGACGGGGCAGGGACGGCAACGGCAACGGCAGCCGCAGGGGCAGCAGGAGCAGGTCCATGACCAGGCCCCAGAGCTCGAGCTTGCCAAGGAGATGAGGCAAAACGTGTGGCGAGTGGCGTACGTACTGATAAAAAAAACGGTCTTCGGCTTGAGGAGGGAGAAGAAACAACTCCATGCGTTTAAACTGCAATGTTGTGATGAGCTCGAGTTTGACGCATTTCCCGAACCTTTTTTTGTCAGCGTCTATTGCTAGTTAGCGATGTCAATTTATCTTTGTAGCTTCTAGTAGTACTACCGTCGAAGGAGTACGTCTCAAGCATGTTCGTTTCGGCGGGAATGATTGTGGATTATAAGTCAGAAATATTGCTGGCTGGTTTGGTGTGAAAGAAAAATATTATTTAAACTTATAATTCACGATCGTATAAGCCAAAACGAACAGGCTTGATCTTGTTTGTTTTCTGTGACTGATGATGATGAAGGGTAAAGAACCTGAGACTAAGAATTATGAGTTGGAATTGAACTCGTGAACGCGCAGCAAACATTAATCTGTTACTACTTAAAAAAACAAGTACAGCTTTCCTCCAAAATAGTTTGGTGTGCGTGCCTATACCACTCAGACTAAAAACAAAAAGGCTTCGGAGGAATCAAAATTAATATACGTGACACCGACACCTAAAAAGACTCGGACACGTCAACGAAATCAATCCGCCCATCTACCAAACATGTCTAATTATTTTAAATACAAAATTACATGCGAGCAACAATATATTAACAATATCTCAGTCGTTCCTTTGATCTTGTAGAAATCAACAAATGCAAGGTCCGGAGATGAAAATTATTTAGACTAATCTATATTTGGTATTGATAAGACAAATATAATTCCCCTCATTTGTTTAGACTAACCTATATTTTTTCTGTTATTCTCTATCTCTTCTCTTCTCTTCTCTACATATTTGCACCTAAAAGGACTCTAAAGCTATCATATACCTGGTGATACCAAATTTTGATCCGTGCTCATGTGGGTCACATCTGATACAAATCATACTCTGCTTGGAGCTCACACGTTTTTTCCAAAATAGTTTGGTGTGTGTGCCTATAGGACTCAGACTCAAAACAAAAAGGCTTGGGAAGAATCAAAATCAATATATGTAACACGGACACCTAAAAAGACTTGGACACGTCAACGAAATCAATCCGCCCACCTACCAAACATGTCTAATTATTTAAAATACAAAATTACACGCGAGAATATCTCAGCCGTTCCTTTAATCTTGTAGAAATCAACAAATGCAAGGTCCGGAGATGAAATTTATTTAGACTAATCTATATTTGGCATTGACAAGACAAATATAGTTCCCCTTATTTGTTTAGACTAACCTATATTTTATTTTTCAGTTATTCTCTATCCCTTCTCTTCTCTACATATCTACACCTAAAAGGACTCTAAAGCTATCATATATCCGATGATATCAAATTTTGATCCCTGCTCATGCGGGTCACATCCGATATAAATCATGCTCTGCTCTGAGCTCACACGTTTTCGTCCAAAATAGTTTGGTGTGCGTGCCTCTACGACTCAGACTCAAAACAAAAAGGCTTCGGAGGAATCAAAATCAATATACGTAACACGAACACCTAAAAAGACTCGGACACGTCAACGAAATCAATCCGCTCATCTACCAAACATGTCTAATTATTTAAAATACAAAATTACATGCGAGCAACAATATATTAACAATATCTCAGCGGTTCCTTTGATCTTGTAGAAACCAACAAATGCAAGGTTCGGAGATGAAATTTGTTTAGACTAATCTATGTTTGGCATTGGCATTGACAAGACAAATATAATTTCCCTCATTTGTTTAGACTAACCTATATTTTATTTTTCAGTTATTCTCAATCTCTTCTCTTCTCTATATATTTGCACCTAAAAGGACTCTAAAGCTATCATATACTCGGTGATACCAAATTTTGATCCCTGCTCATGCGGGTCACATCCGATATGAATCATACTCTACTTGAAGCTCACACGTTCGCGTCCTACTTAGTTCCCACACGTTGACCAAATCCACTTGTCCATGCCCGATACAAAATCATCAGAGCTCACGCGTCCACATTGATTACTGAGGTTCAATTCAAATTTTTTAACCCAACGGCAACGCACGGGCATATGTCTAATAACGAAGAAAAAAATCTGAAGAAAAATCGTGAACGCGCAGCAAACTAAAAAAACAATCGTGAACACCCAGCAAACATTAACAAAGAAAAAAAACAAATCGTGAACGTGCAGCAGACATTAAAAAAGAAAAGAAAGAAAATAAAAAATCCGACCTGCCGGATTCGAACCAGCGACCTAAGGATTATTCTGCAAAGACTACAGTCCTCCGCTCTACCAACTGAGCTAAGGTCGGCTTGCGTTCAATTACAAAGAGAAATATTATATCCACGAAAGTTACATGAAAGAATCATTTTGGTAAACAATTTTTCATCCTCAAAAATGGCTTGGTGCACCTGGTATCCAACTGAGCTAAGGGCTTGTTTGTTTGGGCTTCCTTGGAACTCTTGGACTTTCAAAAGGTCAAAAGGCTCCCGAAAGTCAAAAACCAAAAGCTAGGCTTTTAGCTTACGAGAGTTGTTTTGCTTTTGAAAAATCCAAAAGCATCTAAAGGCGGCCAAAAGCTCAAACAAAGAGGATCTAAGGTTTAGAATGGCTTGGTGCTTATATTACCCGAAAGAGGAACCGAATAAGAAATCACAAAAGCTTTGTGGTGGCCTCGGTAAAAAAAAAGCCTCAAGCTGCCCAGCAAATACCCATGATTGGTCATTTGTAGTTGTAGGTTGCAGCCTTCTTGGGCTTTTTCACGGTCGCCATTCCACCCCGTCTACCAAACAATAGAAGCTCCCCTCAAAAATAAAAAACAATAAAAGCTTTGCTCGAAAAAGGAAAACAAACAAACAAAAGGTAGCCGCTGCACTGCACGAGTGAAGTCGCCAAGGAAGCCGGAGCAGAGAGCGCCACTAGCTAGCCACCGGCGCCGAGGCATGGCGGGGGCCGGAGACAAGGTGGACTACGTCTTCAAGGTGGTGCTGATCGGCGACTCGGCGGTGGGCAAGTCGCAGATCCTCGCCCGCTTCGCCCGCAACGAGTTCAGCCTCGACTCCAAGGCCACCATCGGCGTCGAGTTCCAGACCCGCACCCTCGTCATCGACCACAGGAGCGTCAAGGCCCAGATCTGGGACACCGCCGGCCAGGAGAGGTACCAGCAGCCACCGCACCCGTTCATCCGTCCGCCTCCCTGCTCTGCTCTCGATCCTCTCAGCTGCTTTACTCACTAGTCTCGCGCGCGAATCATGCTCCTCGATCCGTTCCTCTTGCGCATTAGATCTCTGTGGACTGTAGCGGTAGCTGAAACGTTGAGCGCAATGGTGGATCTCTACTTGTGAAATGTTTGCTTTTTTGCGCGTTCACACCTACCTTACCAGCACAGGACAATGTGCTGCTAGGTGATTAGATCTGGCAGCTCTATGCTTATTATGGTGCAGTGCTATTACTGAAGTCATGCGCAAGCTTCAATTAGTCTTTAATTGTTGAGGCAGGACGACGAATCCAATCATTTCTGTTGGCTTCTACTTGCTCTGTAGTTTTAGAAACCGTGATTTGAGGAAGTAAACGTGTGCTATAGTTAGTGGTGGTGGTTCTGCATTGACAAAAGTTGTTTGACAGGGAGCTTGAGCAAATGGGAATAGTATTATTTGAATTCTGAGTTGTTGTTCACATTTACCTTGTACTTTGCTCATCTGCTGTCTGATACCTGACGTTCTTTAATGCACAATTGACAACACCTTTAAAGTTTCTGGTGATTCTGTGGTACAACAAATGAACAGGCCTGCAAGATGTACTATGAAATGTTCTGCAAGAATTTAAATCCTTTGACGAAAATTTGTTTGTTGGAGACCTCTATCATGGGATTGGGAGGCCTACCATGTTGGTTGAATTTGAGCGCCATTTGCTTGTGCACTATGTCATGGTTCCTAACTCTCGTCACTTCGTCTAGTTATTTTGCAGCAAATATGCCATAATAGCTTGAGCCTGCAAGACATGCTCAGGCCCTGTTACAGTCTTACTAGAAGTGGAAATTTTTGTAGGAGTAGAACAAAAAAAAAGCATCAACTTGTCCTTATCATTATATTCTACGAGGTCTATCCAAAATTCTTTACTCTTGACAAGAAAACTTATAATGTGCATGATTCTCACTCTCGAAGTACTCTGCTTATTAGAATGATCACTTGCTTTAGACTCGTTCATGATATTATAGTGTTCAAGCATTCTGATTAGCGGAGTGCTGACCCATGGAAATTATTTCATATATTGGATCCTGATTCATCTATGACCTTAGAGCATGACATCTTTAGTAGTCATTTTAGGTGCTGTGACTTTTATGCCTGCTTTACATCACTTTTTTTTCATGAACTCTCATGCTGGCTACACCCAACTACTGCAGGTACAGAGCTGTGACAAGCGCTTATTACAGAGGTGCACTGGGAGCTTTGCTGGTCTATGACATCACTAGACGCCAGAGCTTCGATCATATACCCCGCTGGCTAGATGAACTCCGAGCCCATGCTGACAAGAACATTGTGATAATGCTGGTTGGCAACAAGAGTGATCTCGAGGAGCAGCGAGCCATGAGCACTGAAGATGCCAAGGAGTTTGCCGAGAAGGAGAATCTCTTCTTCCTGGAGACCTCTGCGCTCCAGGCAACAAACGTAGAGAGTGCTTTTCAAACTGTCTTGACAGAGATCTTCAAAATTCACAGCAAGAAGAACATGGTGTCGGAGCCAAAGAGCAATGGAGCTGCCCCAGCAATGCCAGGGACGAAGGTCCTTGTCCCAGGTCCGGCACAGGAAATCCCAAAGAGCAAGTGCTGCAGTTCCATGTGATGCTTCTACGTTTGGTGCTGGGTGTGTTTGAAATATTCACGCAATAGTGTTTTGGATGTAAATCCCTGCTGAAATGCTTGGATTTTGGCGGGATTGTGTTGGAACACAGGTATATTTTAGATATTTCTCACAATTGTGACATGAGGGAAGGATGTGCTGATGTATTGGTTCTCTTGTTCTCTAATTGATATGTTTTATTCCTGCTGCAAATATCTGTAGCACTGATTGTTTTTGAGATACGAGTTGTGAATCTGCCGTGTCCAAGAAAGAATCCAGTCACCTAACCTGCTAGTTTGCAATAATATTTGATCTCTTGAGCTATAAACGGTAAAGATAAAATGTGATGCACAGGTCTATCAGCTCAGCTAGGCAGGGGTGAAAATCCAAAAATGAAAGCAAAAGATAAAATGTGATGCACAGGTCCATCAGCTAGGAGAAAATAAATATGAGAAAAGATAGATCTATCAGCTCAGTAGGAGAAAAAATCCATAAAATGTTGATGCTCGGACAATCTGCTCAGAAGAATCCAATGACAGAAAAATAATGGGAAAGGCAAAAAAGATGGTGGTCTGTTATAGTAGGAGTCAAGGGACTGTAGCGGGCCCATGATGTCACCCTGACAATCTTCCACCGTTGGAAGCGTGGGTTGTAAGCCCGCGCAACTGAGCCCGGCGAGTGTGGGCTGCCAATACGGCTATTTAAGCTGGTGCTGCGCAGGTTGGACTGGCGAGGCGGTACTAAACAGAGGGAAAGCGACTGGTACACTGGTTTCCTTTCAGGCTTTTTTGGCTTCTTGAGCAAAATTGTCAAGACCTTTGGCCGTGTAAAATCTGTAACCGGTGACTGCATGGATGATTCAGACTCAACGTGAGGTTTAGCGTCCACGAAGACGCGAACGCAGGCCGCGCGGCTCAAGCAGCTGGACGGACACGGGACACGCCTCAGGCGGCGGCGCGTCGCCAAACGCCCGAGCGGACCACTTCTTGGCAGGCGGTGCGTCCCCCTGTTCCCGCGAGAAACTCACGGGCCTGTATGGCTGTCTCGACGCGGCGGTATTTTCCTGGCGTTTTCGATGAGTGCCCAACGTGAGCGGCTGTGCGAACAACTGAACAAGACAAAGCTGCGCGAGAACAGGTCCGCATGGGTGAAAATGGCGCTGGTGCCGCACCATGTCAGTGTCAGTGCGGCGCCGGTGGATACACTGCAGGCATGGCCTGGACGCCATTAGTAAGTACGCCTCCGTGTAGGCGTAGCACATACAGAAAATTGCATCGCACGTACTGATTGCATACGAATAAACGATCGACTGGCGTGGTGGCACTGGCATCGGCGTCGCCCTCTCAATTGACCGTACACCTACCGTCGAGGCCCCGTTTCCATTTGGACCAGAAGAGGTTTCTCGAAGGATCAGAATTTCATGGGATTGCGTTCCTCTATTCTACTTGCACACACACGCGACACATCATTACAGCGTCGCTCCGACCCTTGCCGTAATATTAGATGGCACGTGGCGGATAATAAAAAGTACTTCCATGCAACTGTGGTGGACCTGGACCTGTAGCCAGGGATTATAGAGGGAGCCTGCCAAAAACAATCAACGATAGTGACACCCACGCTCAATGAACATGGGATCGCCTATGTGTGATGAGCACCGAAACTTTGCTAGTTAAGTACTCCCTCGGTTTCAGAAAAGATACAATTCAATAGCAGTGTCATATTTGGTATGTGTTTGACTAAATTTATATAAACAATACTAGTATTTATCGTACTATAGGTACTATTAAATTCTTCATGAAACATATTTTTATGATGTATTTATTTGATGTCATAAATATTAATATTTTTACTTATATATTTGTTCAAACTTAAGGCACTTTAACTAAGAATGCATCTAGAATGCATTCTTTTTAGAACGAAGGTGGTATGTCTTGAGCAAAATCTATTTTTTGGGGGGAGTTTGCTATTTGTCTGTTGAAAGTTTTTTTGAGTATTAAATCTGTCAGATTTCTATACATTTTATTGTGCTTTAGGATTTATGCTACAACTGTCTACTGGGTCACATTTATAAAAAAAATCTGTACCAGATAAAATCTGTCGATAGATAACTAGACACTCTCTTTTTTTTTAAACAAGATATATCAACAAATTATGCCACCACTCAATAAACATGGCATCGCCTATAGTCGACGGGCACCGAATTTTACTAGTTAAGTATGCCTTAAGATCTAAAGTTTCATTAAACATCTCATGTTCATAGTTCTTAGTCCAATGAACGTTCACTATTTTGGATTTGGGCCTTAGGGCACGTGATGTGGCAATAAAATAGACAACTTCTGCATTGACTTGTATATTAGGATATTTGCAAATTATTTAATTTGGACATGTATGCAGTGGCGGAGCCTGAAGCTAAACTCAGGGTGGGCCATTTGCTAAATCAACCTTTACGATTAATGCTGCTCTCTCTAAATAGGGTAACATCACAGACTTCTTCATGTTTCTCTTCTCTTCAAGACTCTAACTTGCTGCTCTGTCTATCTTGTCTGTATTTTTTCTCCTCTTCAAGCTATTTTCTCCTTCTCAAGCCAACAACAGCAAGGCATCACCGGAGTGAACTGCTTTGGTCTTCACATAAACATTAGTGGCAGGGGGGCCATGGCCCACTATGGTCCCGTCGTGGCTCCACCACTGCATGTATGCATAAACTATGATGATTAATCATGAATATAATACTTCTATATATATACCGCTTTACAAATTGTACAAAATTAAATTGGGTAGACCATGGATCGAAAATCCTCACATGTGCTCCACCGTCATTGATGCACGGCATGAGACACTACTTTAGAATATTTCGGGGACATCGGATGACATGCATGGAGATTGGAGCCCAGGAGCCGTGGACAACATGCAAAACGAACTTACCATTTGGTTGCCTAAACACGTGTCAACAATCTATCATGGGATCGTATGGGAGACCCAAAAGACCTAGGGTCCACCCAATTTAATTCATGTACCATTGCGTTTGTTGTAGTGTGACATTAGTGGTTCATAGATTAAACAAATTGAAATGTTGAAAATGGACAGAAAATAAAAAAAATGATGCCAAAAACTAAATTGCCCCTTATCTCTTCCTTTCCTTATCTTTCGTTTGATTGTGGGGTGGGGTATTTGGAAGGAGGGAATGTGAGTTTGGAAATAGGAGTTCAGAAAACTTTTGTTTGCAGGAGTGCAGATTTTCGTTGGAAGGAAAATGAAAATTTAGATGACCAACTCTCACTAATCAATTTCGTGGGAGGGATGGTAATTGGGTGCAAAATATACTCTTAGTGAAAGACAAATACATCATCACTATTCATCATGACTTGTCATATAATTTTTCACTCATCACCCCTAACAAGGGATATAAAGTCCCTCTACAACTTTGTCTCTCTCTCTCTTTTAAACCAAACAATAAACCAAACTGGAAATCAAATTCATACCTCAACTTACTTCTGCCAACTTCCACCACTTCGTGTATAGTTACCAAAACACACCCTCTCGTGACTCGTCTGCTAAAGCGTTTCGTCAACTGACTCCGTGAGCGTCAGTGCGTGTGCCTCTCTTGTCCCGTGCAAGGCGTAGGACGGTAGGAGGTTCCCGTGCGTCCAGCAAAGCGGTCGGTCCGGCGCGGCATAGTGCGGTGATCGAGTCCACGTCGGACGTATGTGCCAGGGTGGAGGTATACAGATGGCATGATCCCCACCGTGCCCTTATCCTCTTATCCATGGAGACCCAGCGAACGCACCTTCGCCGCTCCCAGCCGCCGGCGCCCGCCACGCGCTCGACAAAGCTCCCCGCGCCTAAACTCTCCCGGGCTCTCACTCCTAGCGCCCACCGCAGCTGATGCCGCTCGCTGGCATTGCCCTCGCGCCTCTCCTCGTCTCACCTCTCGCGCCTTCCCCTCGCCGTAGCAGCGTTGCCACTGCCGCCGCGAGAAGGCCAAGAGTTGTCCAGAGAGCTCGGTGCTCGGCTACAGCCGCTTCTGGTGAATCCGGTGAGCTGTCGCGCGCGACGCTACTATGGAGGGCGGCGAAGCTACCCATCTACTCCGTGGCGCTAGTGCCACTCACCGTGAGTTGTTGCAAGCCCAGGCCTCGTTAATGCGACGTACTGGCAGCCAGAGCACAATTTTTTTTGACCCTTTTCTTTTTGCAATTCAGAACTGGATGCCTAGAAGTTGTTTCAGAATTTGGATTGTTGTGACAAAATACTTTGTTTTGCAATTTTTTGGATGCCTTGCCCTTTTTACACATTTCGTATTTGTGTATGGTTGCAGGTCGGGAGCGCTTCTGCTTATCATCATGCGGGCTTATTCTTTACCAAGCGCTATTTTGTTCTCCTGACAGCAGCAATCCTCGTGATCACTTGGCTCAATCTCAGGTAAAATTGATTTTTAAAATGGAAAATCGTTGTCAACGTAATGTCAGTTTATTGAATAGGGTCTTATCGTGTGGATTATTTAGTTGAAAAAACGTAGAACAGAGATTTTAGAAGTCAAATCCTTTGTTTGACTTCACTGCAGCAATGATGTTTATGACTCGGATACTGGGGCTGATAAGAACAAGAAAGAATCTGTTGTCAGCATTACTGGCAGGTATTGCACTCTTGTTTCATAGAACTAATAACATTGTAACTGGCATGGTTGGTTTTAGAAGTGAAACATGATGTTATGTTGTAATCTGATTATGCAGTCGAGCAATGACACAAAATGCTGCGAACATTTCCCTTTTCCTCGGCTTTGCAGGACTATTTTGGGCCTTTGCAGAAGCCAAGGATATCAGATTTATTTTATTGGTGATGTGTGCAATCTTCTGTGGTTATGTTTACCAGGTAGTATTATCTCCACTCCCTTTTTCAAGGAACTAGTGTAGTATATCTTAATGGTCTGTATCATTGGTTAGACCATATGTACTTGGCTGTTTATATCGACTTTGAATCCTTGTACACATAATAGTATTTAAGCAATAAGTCATGTTCAAGTAGCTAGAGTAATATTTCTCGTTCTTTAATTTCACGTGTCTGAACCTTGATTGCTTCTGTTGGGTTTTAACTCTAGCCTACTCCAACTTGTTTGGGACTTAAATGCTTTGTTGTTGTTGTTGTTGTTGTGACTTTGTGCATTTCCTCAGTGTCCTCCATTCCGATTAAGTTATCAAGGACTAGGTGAGCCGTTGTGTTTTGCTGCATTTGGTCCATTGGCAACCACAGCTTTTTACTTCTCAAACAGCAGTATAAATATTTCGAGGTAACCATGGATTATTGCTGTACATCTTAATTGAAGACCATTGTTTCACTTGCAACTGAACCTAAATAGTTTTTTAAATATTGTGATATGCCAGCGGAACGGCACTTCTCCCTCTCACCAAAACAGCTATAGCTTCATCTATTCTTGTTGGGCTGACAACTACTATGATACTCTTCTGCAGCCATTTCCATCAGGTATAACTCTGGCTGACAATATATAATTTTCCCCCAAGTAGTCCAGTGTAGTGCTACTTTGTTTTCTTTTGAGAAAATTTCTTATAAGCAGATACACCCTTTTATTCTGTAGATTGATGGAGACCTTGCCGTTGGAAAGATGTCTCCACTGGTATTCCTTCTACCTTAAAAACCAAGTTCAAATTTCCTTTACCAATTTTGACTTCGCACCCATAACTTTTTTTTCATTATAACACGGGTTTTGTGTACCTGAATCTGCCAACAGGTAAGAATTGGCACTAAAGCAGGATCGCGGATAGTGTCAATTGGGATTCTCACGCTTTATGTTCTCTTGGCTGCATTTGGCATATGCAGATCTCTCCCACCAGCTTGCATTGTGAGCTACTTTCAACCGATCATACTGCTCCATGTAAAAAAAAATAGTGATCTTGAATTGCAGTTCTTGGCTCAACCATTGCTACGATAATTTTCAGGTCCTCTGTGCCCTTACTCTGCCCATGGGCAAGTTGGTTGTGGACTATGTGCTGAAAAATCACGAGGTAAATCGCTCTTGTCCCTTGCGTATCTCTGAAAAATGAAGATGCGATTTTGCACTGATACGGTTTGAGATCACACGCCTTCAGGACAACACAAAGATATTCATGGCGAAGTACTACTGCGTGCGCTTGCACGCGCTGTTTGGGATGGCACTAGCTTCTGGTTTGGTCTTGGCCCGTAATGGTATATTAGCCTGACAGTGACAGATAGATAGGCAGCGTTGAAATCCAGGAGAGGATCCAGAGCTGTAGAGCACCCTGCAGTTTCAGATCTAGTGAACGCCCAGCCTTCAGTTGCGTTGTGAACTAAGCTGGTGTCTGGTTGTTACTCCTAAATTTTAGTCGCTGCATCATCGAAAGTTTGTACACATACATAGAATATTAAATATCGATTAATTATGAAACTAATTGTATAGTTTGCGACTAATATAAGAGACGGATCTTTTAAGCCTAATTAATCTATGATTTGACAATGTGGTGCTACAGTAAATATGTGATAATGACGGATTAATTAGGCTTATAAAATTTGTCTCGTGGAATACTAACAGATTATGTAATTTGTTTTTTTATTAATATTCGAACACTCATACAACATCCTTCCGACACACCTTCACCTAACTTCTGATTCAACAACCGAACAGACTGAACGATGAGAATGGGTGCAGTACTGAACAGCAGCAGTTTTGCCAAGAAACGGAAGAGGAATTGCCTAGGAGAAGTATGACTACTACAACGTCAGAACTCAGATGCACATGCACACCGGCCCGTATTGGACGGCAAGTTGCTCCTGCTGCTCAAGTTGAATGAAGAGGTTCAGACGTTCTGTGCTCGAGTTCATTAGAGCTTCAGCATCCGGTTTTTGCCCGAGGAGCACGCCTTGTACGATTTGACCCGATCGGGCTTTGCTCGTGCACGGTCAGACTGCCGTTGCGCCGGGGATGCCAGTACGGTCATGTTTGCTTCTCTTATCATTCGTCTTTTTTAGCTTATTTTTTTAGCTGGAACAGTGTTTTTCTTTCACAACAAATTAGCCGGAACAGTGTTTCGGTTTGTTTTTTCAGCGAAGCGAACGGAACTTTATATGAATTGAATTTCAAGCGAGGACGAGTCATGTAACTTCTCTGCACTGACGTACCAGCTGACCATACAGATTTTGAGAGATTTCATTCATTCACACCGTTTTCTTTCACATTTTGCCTTTGTACTTTTGGTTAGTGGTTAGCCAGCGACCGTTAATTGCTTGTAATTGCAACGTCCTGTTTCCATCTGTCTGTCCAGGCAAGCTATTAAACAGATGCTACTGAGTACTGACAACGCTACAACTACTTCTGCTGCAAAGTGTTCCCCATACTGGTCAATCCTTACACTGGCACACAGTCAAGGCCATACTCACACAACGTGAGCAGCTGGAAAAACATGTTGAAAGTGAAATACTACTAATATACAATGCATTCAGACGATAAAAATGCACCAGGAAATCAAATATTTTGACCGTACAAGCGCAGTTTACAGGAAGAGAGCAACCACTGGCGTGTTCTCATCACATCACTTTCCAAATTGGACTTCGTAGTAACTGTTTTCATATCATATCATCCATATTTGACAGAAATGGACATCTGTGCTTCTCAGCTCCCGCTTTTCAATCAACTTGGTTCACAGTAAAATTCTTCTTAGTGGAGCACCTCGCGTCAACACCACCCAATTGACCGGAAACTCAGCAATTGTGGAAAGGCATATCCCAGAGAGTGATTTAAAGCTTGTAAGTAAAAATATGCTCGTCCCACATTCATCGATCGGCCAAAGAAACACCTTTGTTCCAACGTCGACAGCTTCAGGAATCACCAGGGAGAATAAAAATAAAAACAGTGGAAAACGGAGAATTTTTTGCTCTTGCCAGTCATCCAGTAGAGAAAAACGAGTTAACACCTGCTTATCAAGCAGCTAGTGGTTTCAGGATCCAACCATGCATATTTGGTTAACACGTGCTGTTTGGTTGGTTCCACAGTAACGCTCGTATCTCCCACCGGTAACGTCCGCAGCTTTAAATCATTTACGTCGCAAATGTAAAGAAAATTAGTTCAATCGTATCTCCCGCCGGTAACGTCCGCAGGTTTAAATCATTTACGTTTGTGTTACCAACGGTAGAACCAAACAGCTGATTAGCTCAATCGCAATAGACTGCAACTCCTGATCCTTACCCATGTCGTGTGGCGGCCATGTTTGGTTTGGACCTGGAAAGGCTACCTGGCCTAGACAACAATCCCAGGCGTTCAAATTTAGCACTTGCCTAATGGTTGGATGTTGTTGCCTAGGCCAGACAGGTCTTGAGGACACCAACCAAACAAGCATCAAGGACCTGCTTGCTTTAACCCCCCATGCAAAACTGCCTTGCCTTGCGCCGGCGTCGCTCTCATCAGGCGTGTGGTTTTTGGTCGCCTAGGCTTAGGATGCATTTTTGGCCCTAATTGCCCCTAAAGAAGTTCTGGAGAGTTCAATGCCCAGCACAAAAACGACTACAATACTCATGAATCATGATAAGCAAATAGTACTACAGCCCATGATTGACAAGAGAGGGCAGAGCCAAACGGCGATGTGTCACCAAACATGCTTGGTAATTCATTCATGTGACCATAATTAGATGAGCCATCGTACACCACAAAACAAACGAGGTCCATGTCACACCAGAAACCAAAGCTTAATTGCAGTTGTCTACCGAACAAAATCTAATGCGAACAAGGATCCAAATATCCAGCACAGAACAAAGACCAATCGTTTTGACCAGGAAAGTCTTTATACCGAAATCACATGCACAGGAAACCAGATTGCACAGGAAACCAGATTGGGCTAGTCCCAATCGTTTTGACCTCACAAGTCACAAGCAAGAACATTGTAGTTCAAATGAGTTTACTTTTTACTGATAGCGTAGCCAAGCAAGAGTAGATGGGTCCCATCGAGGATAAAAACTACTTACTATATCATCATCCTAAGGAAATTTTGGATATGAGATTCTGCCATACATATTGCTTGCATAAGCTTTGTTACAAAAAATTAGCCAAACATGAGCAATCCATATACTCTTGCTTGGCTACCATATACACCAGCAAACGCCGCATGTCCCATATACACCAGCAAAATATCCAGACAGGTGGAGCACGCTACTAGGAGAAAAAAGAAAGAATTTTTTGAGCTATGAGAGCTAACAGAATGTGAAGTATTGCTTGCTGCTTCCTCCTTGGGTCGCCGCCCGTCGCCCGCCGTCTCGCCAGATCTCTCCTACACCAGCCCTATCTACACATCGGCCACGGCGGCGGCGCAACGGTGGTGGGGTTCCTGCGTCACGGGTCGCGGACGCGGGGACTGGTGGCCGGCATGGGCACGCCGGGCGACGGCGGCGTCCGCGGCGAGGGCAGGCAGCCGAAGCCGAGCGGCGACGTGGGCACGTGGATCGGCGAGGGCATCCCGCGGAGGCGGCGCATGTATGCGGAGATGGGCGACTCCGCGGTCATGCAGACCGCCGGGAGCGGCGGGAGCGGGGAGAGCGCCGGCGGTGCCGGGGGAAGGATGGGCGGCGGGGCCAGCGGCGGCGGGCGGATGCGGTGGAGGCGGGAGGGTATCGCCGTCGGCGGCGGAGGCGCCATGATGTGAGGCGGAGGAGGCGGGGGTGGCGGCGCCATGAGGGGGGCACGGGCGGGGGCCGGGGCGGCCGCGGGCTGCGGCGGCAGGAGGTGGGACGGCGAGCCTGTGAGCTTCTGCACGACGTCGCGGAAGTTGGACTTGTCGATGTTGTACACCGGGGGCTGGGGAGGCGGGTGGTCGGCAGGGACGGAGGGGGCCTGCGGCGGCGGGAGCGGTGGGGGTGGGCGGGGAGCCGGCGGCGGCGGGGAAGGCGCTCTCATGGTGGAAACGGGAGCGGGAGCAGGAGCGGGAGAGGCGGAGGTCGACTGCTTGGAGATCTTGTAGGAGGCCTTGTTGAGGGACTTGAGCGAGGAGGAGGCGGAGGAGGGAGGCGGCGGCGGTTGTGGGAGGCTGGACTTGTCCATGACCATGGCAGAAGAGGGGGGCGAGTGTTGGGGGAAATGGTGGGAGATTGGGATTTGGGGAGTGAGGGAGGGGGAGCAGGGAAGGATGCTGAGCTTTGGATAGGCGGGCGACAGGCTCTCCTTTCTGGGGCAAACCGACCCGAAACAGGCGCAGTGGGCGGCAGTGCGGTGGTAGCAGTTTCCGGTCTAGCCGACTGGTGGTGTGCCTGCCTCTGCGTGCTCGGCGCTTCAGCCGCTCGCACAGCTCTCCTTCCTTCCACTGGTGTGCCTGCCTCTGCGTGCTCGGCGCTTCAGCCGCTCGCACAGCTCTCCTTCCTTCCACTGCACTGCATATTTCGGCGGAGCATTTCGCATGTGGACTGCAGTTTCGCGAGCTTCTCTCGGTACGTGTGTTTCTTCGTATATTTGCCGAGGATCTAGAAAAAACTAATTATTTGTGCCATAAGAAATGCTTGGATTTCTTCACTTCTTTCGTGCCATAAGAAGATCCTTTTTGCCAGGATTTCGTACCGTTAGTCCATAGGCCATAGGAGGAGGATTCATGTGAGCAGCACCAAAACTTGTGGCGTTTATCCGTGCTCAGGCCATTTTTTTTTTTCTGGCGGAAACGGAAGCAGCCAGATTGGCCATGGCCCCCGGAAGCAATCACTGCCGCAACAAGAAACCGTACGGCACGCACCACACATGCTTGGCGCATTTGGCGAGGCAAAAAATACCATTGTTGTGACAAAAACTATTCTAGTAAAACATAAACAGTGATTTGGTGAGAGACAGAACCAGCCGGCCGGCAACCAGCCAGCCGAACGGCCTCGCAATCCACATGGGCTGGACCACACACACCATCAAAGTAAGATACTGCCGCTAGAAAGCAGTCGAAGCCTCGAAAGAGAAGGAGCAGCAAGCCAAGTAATCTACTCCTGCTCCACTGATCTACTACTCCTCGGATTAGCAGGCAAGCTGCTGAGCCTACCACTGCTAAAGTGGCATGGCACGGAGGGAAGCGCGATGAAAAGATGTGCTCGATCAGGATTCAGGAAGGGGACGCCATATGGAGCCGTAATCGCGCTGTTTTGTTTAATGCTCCAATCGCTTTCCAGCTTTTAAATTACGATTACGATACGACAGCACGCACGGGAAATGCTTTGACCGAAAGGGTGTCTTTGACCAGGCCGGGGGCAGAATCGTCCCTTCAGATGGGGCCAGCTGGCTGGAGTTCATACTGGAGCAGTAGCACACTAGTAGCACGCAACGGATTCATCTCGCTGTTTTCTTATTCCCCTCAGTGCAGGGCAGGGGAAAATTGAAAAAGACTTGGGAGGATGGGATACGGTGGTTTAGAGAAATACAGCTGCAGATTAGTGCAGATAAGCGGCATCGGTTTCTGAATTTGCTCTTCTGACTTTATATTGTTGTGTTTTGAGCTACACCGTGTCTTCGGTGCACAAAGAAGATCCCAAAGGCTACAATCGGTTATAACGGGCTGCGTCTTGAAATTTGAGGGATCCTAGTTTGTTTTTAAGTTCATTTTCTAAAAACAAATTAAGAAATTCATAGAGAACGGTTCTAACATCTACCATGTTAAAGAGGTAAATCATGATCAATAATCTCTCCGTCCCAAAAAAAAATGCAATTCTTGGTATAAGTCTAGACAAATGTTTATTCAACCATACCTAAAATTGCATTCTTTCGGGTATATCTCGTAGTCTTACTATTATTAATTGAAGGCCTTAATCTCACAAAATGCACTAAAGGAAAAAAAAAGAGATAAATCCTAGATTCTTGAAAAAAAGAAACACTCGACCATCAAAATTATTCTAGGATTCTTCCAAAAAAAACAAAAAGAAACACTCAACCATCAATTTGGTAGGCTCTAATTATTATTGACAACATAAACCATTGGATCATTCCTTTAAAAAAACATCAGCACTTTCCATCATGAAAGAAACGTAAAGTAACAATTCTAAAGTTGAATCTGAATTTCCTACCTCAATCATTTAAAAGGATAATATAAAGTAATACCATTACCCACCCTATAATTACAATATATACTCTTAGCAGAGTTAACATTCAAATTACTCACCCCTACCATTATTAATGTCCCCTAACATTCAAATTATTCTTTTTTATATAAAAAATACTAGTGCACAAAGAATTCTTCGATAGAGAAAATTGAAACATCCAAAGCGTCAAAACAACTGTCATGTAATATAGTTTTATGGTGCTAACACTTTGGTGGTTATTTTCTTTACAAGTTCAATTAAATTTATAATAGTTTGATTATGACTAAATTTATAGGGCCATTCATTTTTGGATGAAGATAGTAGGGCACTGAAAGTTTGGAAGGTCAAGTAGTGTCTAGGAATGATACATTTCGATATTTAGGATCAATGCTACAGAGAGAGGGGATATTGATGAAGATGTTAGCCATAGAATTAAAGCAGGGTGGGTGAAGTGGCGCCGATCATCTGGTATCCTATGTGACAAAAGGGTATCACAAAAGCTAAAAGGCAAGTTTTATAAAACGACGATCAGACCTGCTATGTTGTATGGTGTAGAATATTGGCCTACAAAAAGACGACATGTTCAACAGATAAGTGTCGCGGAAATGCGTATGTTGCGTTGGATTTGCGGTCATACAAGAAGGGATCGAGTTCGGAACAATGATATACGTGATAGGTTAGGGGTAGCACCAAATGAAGAAAAACTTAACAACACCGGTTGAGATGGTTTGGACATGTCCAACGAAGACCTCTAGAACACACGGTGTGTAGTGCAATCCTAAGCCAGGATAGTAACGTGAAGAGAGGCAGAGAAAGACCGAAGTTGACTTAGGTAAAGACAATAAAATAAGACTTGAAATGGTGAAATATATCCAAAGACTTAGCGTTAGATAGGAGTGTTTGAAAACAACTATTCACGTGTCTGAACCTTGATTGTTTCTGCTGGATTTTAACTCTAGCTTACCTCAATTTGTTTGAGACTTAAAACTTTGTTGTTGTTGTTGATAGTAGGACGCTGGAAGGATTATAACTTAGAAGGGGTCCCACCCCACAACTATACTCAGTTGCTCATAGAAAAAGTTTTAAAAGTGATCTGGTGGCTGTTAGTGGGCGTGACGAACCGCGATCCAGCCCCTTTGGGCTGGAAAGATTGCCCTGCGTGTGCAATTGCAGTACGTATATCAAAGAAAAAGGAGGCATCTCATACAAAAAAACATGGCAGACAAGAATATGCACAACGCTTCATAAGCATTTTCTTTCAGCTTGAAAAATTAGCATTGACAGACACAAGTGGGTCATAGTATGTGCTGTGAAGGCGCTGCAAATTAGCATTGACAGACGCAAATGGGTCCTAGAAATGGCCAGGAAGTTGGTAGGAAAAGAAAGGAATAAAAGAAGAAAAATCATTTAAACCCTTCTTCAACTTTCACAATCGTCCAATTTCTCTCAATAGTTTTAGCCAACGTGAAGCCATGCTGGTAGTCTTATGTAGTGCCATATCACCCGTGAGTAGGGGTGAAAACGGTACGGATATTTTCCGATCGTATTCGAGATCGAATCCATTTAGACGAGTTCAAATCTGTCCGTATCCGAGTCCGGATATTCAACATCTGATACCATATCCGTATCTGAATAATCAAATCGCATATTTATGATGTCGATATCCAATCGTATCCTATCCGTCATGGTTGACAATATCCGTATTTAAATCCGAATCTGAACAGAAATATGAAAACAAATGTAATATCAGTTATATCCGTTCGTATCCGATCCGTTTTCATCCATACCCGTGAGGGAGGTAAATCGACTACGCTCCTAGTTTAGAAAGGTTAAATAGACTTTATAAAAATAAATTATATGTTTTTTAAATATTTATCTTGAAAATATATATAATTAAAAATTAATCCGGTTTAAATTTTAAAAATAAGCTCAGAAAAATATGAAACAATTTTTTAATCATGCTCTATCTTATAGTGTCCAGCTTAGAATAATTTGAATATTACATGATCTCTTTTTGTGTTTATTTGCTAGCAGCGGTTCTTGTAATTTGTTATAATTAGTCTATGTTGACAACCTAGACTAAGTAGAAGTTTATGATCTCGATAACAACACAAGTGTCATGAATCACCTTATACTTAATCGTATTTGTTACTAACATAAGTGACAAACGAGCACCAAAAGATGGATATGGACGCAACATTTTTCTAGTTTGTGCCGGAAATGAATGCAACATCTTCTAGTTTGTGCACAAAATGAATAATCTAGTTATGTGATTGGTGCAGGCTCGAACATGCCCCACAGCTAGTGTTTAGACATGCACAATCTTGCTCTATGCCCCTCTCCATCACGGGCGGGCCCTGAATTCTTATTTTTGCTGATCAATGGTATTTAAGATACAACGAATCATAAATGTTAAAAAAATACGTCGAATCAATTTGTTTTTTACCTTTTAAAACTTTGAATATACGTTTTTCAAATCTTGGGCCCGTCTCTGCCTCTCATGGTTTCTCTGGTTTATCCGTGGTACCCATAGGTCAAGATGGCAACGGGTACGTACCCGATGGGTACCGCCACCTTTTCAAAATCTTACCCGTCTTACCCAGACCACAGACGGGTAGAAAATTCATTCCATACCCATAAATTCTTACCCGACAATATACCCGAGTTCACACACCAAAATATAATAGCTTCCAAAGAAAATAAATCAACAATAGAGCAAAAAAATGAAATATGGGCTAGTGGAGTGGAGTGAGGATGAGGATTAGGGTTTGAGGAGTTCGAATATATATACTCATATGCTTATATGGGCCAAATATGGGCTATATGCTTATATGGGCTAAAATTGCGAGAGGTTGG